GTTTCAATTTCATATTAATATTGACAAGTGACAGATCTTATCAAAACTAAAAAATGATTGCATTACTCCTTTATTTCTCATAAGAGGGCAAAGGTTTGATGTTAATAATAAGTATAATCGTTGAGTGAATCATGGTCAAGATGCACAAATTATAAATGAAAGTCTTTCTTCAACGCTTCTTTCATCCATTTCCACTGCATTGCTAAACATTTCTATTAGTAATTACTCAGCGATCTTTTCTTGTAGTCAAGAATAGTATAAATCCCATGAATAATGGTCATCTTCATAATTCCACTTCCTTGAAGCAAAGGGTAGAAAATGCTAACGAACACTCTATCATTTTTTTTCAGATTATAAAAATTTGTGAGCAGCTTGAAGATTCCGGCAACATTGAGCGGTTAGCTGCGTAAGTTATTATTTATTTTACACTTCGCAAACCATTACGTTGAGATAAACTTATCATAATTATTTATTTTTTGACCATCAACGCATCGTGCGATATGCAGTTAGGATAATTACAGTTTTCTGTGGTCCATCTCTCATCAACAGCACACTGATGAAGTAACAGCCGTTCTGCGAAACCATGAATCTGTGCTTCGCGCTAGGGCTTTGGTGTGTTTCCACATGGGAAATTTTCAAGAGATGTACAGAATACTCGAATCACATAAATTCACCAATGGTTCACATAGCAAACTGCAGGCGATGTGGCAGGAAGCTCATTACCAGGAGGCGGAAAAGTTAAGAGGAAGGTAAACTTCGCTAATTCTTTCTTTTTGTAACTGTTCGATATTCTGTTGATGAATTGATTAAATAAATGAATGTACAAACTAACTAATTGATCAAACAGCTGACTGATCAATAATTTTTTTTCGTTTTATTAAGCTAAAATTTCAACTTTTTAATTAAAATTGCTGGAAAAGAAGGATACATAACTTATTAAAATTATGAGAAACCATAATAGGTTTATGATGTGAACAATTCACTTATATACACTGTTTACTCTCTATTTTCAATTTTAAGACCATTAGGACCGGTGGATAAATATCGAGTGAGAAAAAAATATCCGATGCCGCGGACAATTTGGGATGGAGAGCAAAAGACTCATTGCTTTAAAGAGCGAACAAGGTCATTTTTGAACTGAATCTGAGAGAAATAGTCAAAACTGATTTTTTGAGAAAATAATTTATTTCAAAAGTCCTTGAACTTTTAGCAGTTTGTTTGGCCTAACGTTTTATTCTTTATCGACGTCTAATCCTAGCGAGAAAGTTGACTTGTAAAGCTTCACCTTTGAACAATTATTTGCAAGCTTTAATGTCCAATTTTGTTCATCATTATATCTCCTGGATTTTCAAGTAAAACTGCTGCTTTCTATTTCAGGTCACTACTACGGGAATGGTATCTGCAAGACCCGTATCCGAATCCGAGTAAAAAAAAAGAATTGGCGTCAAAAACGGGTTTAACTGCCATGCAAGTTGGAAATTGGTTCAAAAACCGACGACAGCGTGACCGAGCTGCTGCTGCCAAAAACAAGTTCGTTTTTGAATTTCGTTTCGGAAAATGTAACTAAAATGCTCAGAAATGCTTAAGAAAGAATTCCAAAAAAGTTAAATCAAGAAACTTAAGATCAATAAAAAAGCAAAATAGTTATCTTTTCACCGGTCATTCCCCGTCTTTTCGCTTCATGCTCATAGTTGGAGGGGTCAAAGGCTGTGTACATGATTAACCTACTGGAATTCAGTCTAAAAGTGTGTTGAGAAAGTCTAATTGTAATAGGAATGAAATTTCGAAACAATAATGTATCCTAATTGGGCTTTTCAGTTGATGTTTATCACCACCTAAATTCTTTTCCTTCTTTACAAAACAGTTCCTACTATGTCTGCTCATTTTTAGTGGTACTACGTTACTATCATTGCTATCGTCATAATCATTGATAGAGTCTCAATATCATTGCCACCTTAACCATTAGAAATAACTATCATAAAAAAACTTTTATTATCAAAGCATAAACCATCTTAGTACTACTCGCTGTTTTATGAATTCTGCAAGAAAAATTGTTCCCCATGATTAATTTAAACTGCCAGTTCTGATTCAATCTAAATTTGATGCTTTGCTACAGATTAATAAGCACTCATTATGTGAAACTATCTTTACTGTATTACGCTTACTTGCGTTAAGATTGGCTTATGTTGAAAAATTCCATCATCTGCTACTATAAATCGATGATACCTTTCATTAGTGATATGAAGAATGTGCCAAGAGAGGATTTGTTCATTGATTTTTTATACTCTGTCTTCATCTCTGATTGGTGTCGCGGAGCGTTTGTTGGAAAGTTGGGCGCTGGATTTTTATTTTTCACTAATAACATAGACGAAGCTGATCCTAAATGGAATAATGAAATCGAATCAAGTTTCATCTTCTTGATTGCTGCAAATTCCTTGATGCATTCTCTTCCTCGGATTGATGACAAATGCTTTGCATTGTGAACTTCTTGCAAGAGTTAGGGAGAAGAGGGTATCGCTCAATTGACAATGCTCTTAAGAAGATCGACGCTCCTCGGTCGACGCTCCAGGGAACTGGTTTCATCTTCCGTCTCTTTTACATCCACATCAATTCCAATCAACCAACTAACATTATCTATCTCCCATTCTCTTTCCCTACTTCCATTTCTACATCTTACCCGAAAGTGCACCTCAAAAACCTTGAACGCTACTTTACGCCAATTGTTAAGCTCTTATAATCTGCTTCTCTTCGCCATCCCATCATCTTTCACTTCTCTTTAACATATGGCAATCGAGATGCTATCATTAGAGTATTAACACGGAAGGATAGGATGAAGTAAGTCACTAAAATGTTCACAGCAGTAGAATTACCCGACATGAAAGATCTCCTCGATCACTGCATTTGACTTCTCACCCCTTTTCTATACCCATCTCTGCAATACATCTTGATAACACTTATCATATATTACCTTGGAATGTAGAAATCTGTGTCTTTCTGATGTTTTTACCTGCGATGCAACGATGGAATCATTTCTCACACCTCTCATTTTCACCTATCTATCGATATGTCAAATTTTCTTTTGAAGATTTGTATAATATAAAGGATACATTTTGTTCAGTTCAAGATAGTTTATTTCGACCATATTTTCAATTCATTCGATCTATCGACGATTAAGAGAAGGGCGTCATATGCACTCCCAAAGTTGAAAAATAATAATTGAAGAATTTTCGGGGTGAGAGAGAGGTGAAAGTAATACTTTAGAATAAAGCATCGCTGTTTTCGAATGAATTTTGGTTCAAGAATTATATCACTAAGAGACTTCCAATTCATTTTCACTCATTCCTTTTCATCACAGGTATCATGCATGGAAAGTGGTGCAATTGCAGGAATTCATTCTTAACAATCCAATAAGAAATGAAATTATCAAGGGGTGATTGAAACTGTATGATATTTTCCATATAACTCAATTTAAGTTGTTCTGGGTGTTCCCCTCTGCTCCTGCATTTCTCCTCATTTGCCTTTGAACCCAAACTGGTAATCTCTGCCACCAGAATCTTCTGGTCCTTTACATTCATTGCGAACCAATCAAATGCTTTCTTCTTTCCTTTTCCCAGTAATTGTCCACCCTCGTATTCTCTTGCTCAGATGGATGTATCGATTACCGTATCAATTACACCACATCTATATTCACTATACGTGATCGCTGCCTACGGTAATGACAAACGAATTCTAAAATTTCTCGATATTTTTGCCTTTTCACAATTTAGGGAGCAAATGATAGATTGTGCAATAAGTATTTAATGATCTTTAACTTGCTGACTATCCGATATCATATGCAGAAAATTTACTTAGAGGAAAAAAGAAGGATTTTGATGGGGATTTAAAACTTGTTGTTTAAAGGAAAGTTGGTAAGGATACCTTACCTTCCTTACGGAACTGCAAGCTGAAATGAGAAGAAAACAGTATTCTGTACTGCAATTTCTATTTCTACCATATCCGTTATAACCTCATCAATCAATCTCCCTCTCAGGTAAGAGAAAGGAAGAAAAAGAACAATAATCTTCTAAATGCCACTGCATGCACTCTTCAGGTTAGTGCGACGCATTGCGTAGTTGATATATTGAACGTTGCACTCAGATATTGACTCGTATTTGCATTAGAGTTAGAGTTAGCATTCTTCAATAGTGTTAGAGGGAATGATGAGATGATAAAGGTGACATCAGTCGCGGTGAAGTGAGAAGATAAAGAGAAGGTGAAGAAGAAGGTCTTAAGAAGTGTCTACAAAAAACCTCTTTTACAGTTGAAAATCCGTTAAAATGCTGACAAATCTTTTCTTTTCCTCTTTTCTTCTTCCTCTGTCCCGCTCTCATACATTCGACCAATTACATCGTCAATGACCGTATAATGTCGGAAGACAAAGACAAACCTATCATTTATGAAGAAGAATTGAGGGCAATGGCAAAGAGAATGTTGTTGTACATCAACTTATCGTACATTATCGTTTCGCATTCTCCTAATTATCCACAGATTTCTCCTAATTAGATTCCCTTTAGGCTTTTACGCGAAGTTATTTTCGGGGCTTTTAATAAATTATATTATTTCGCGGAAAATTCGCCGATAAATGAACAGAAAAATACATAAATGTATGCATACATATATATGCAACCCTTAAATGGACATGTAACGGAGGAAAGATAACTAGCATTGATCCGATCATAGAGTAGTTTACCTTGTCGAGAATTATAGGGAAAATTTAAGCAAGCAAATGCTCTTGTTACCATGCCATTTGACTAATATGAACAACGTATCAAAATACCCTGCACCTTATTGTTGTCATGAAATATGTCCAAACAGCATGTTGAAGACTAATTGACGTGAGAGTTACGGAACGACAATAATACATGCCTTTGTAAGTAGGAAGAAGGCATCATCACAATCAATAATGAAACTGAATTAAAAAGAGAAATCTAACAGTATAACATTATTTCAGAGCTAACGAAATGAACGGTGTGAAGAAAAGTCCCGAGTCAGATAATTCAGAGGATTCGGAGATGGAAGAAGATATGTTCGATGGTTCTCTGCTTGCAGATTCACCCACTCCATCTGAAGAATGCACTAGTACTGAAAAGTCGCAACATTTAGCTGCATGTACCTCACTAACTACGACAAAGATGCCAGCTGAATCATTGTTGCCGCACCCCATTGAAGCCGCCTCCTCTACGACAATGTTTGGAGTTGCAAGCGCCTTCGATCCGTTGCAATTTGATCCGCTACGATTGCTTATGAACCGATCTCTAAATGCAGCCGTGTTAAACCCAATTCTCGCCCAACCCGGAGCAATATTAAGCTTGCAGCAGCAACTATCCAAGCACATCTCTTCGACGTTGACGCAACCAAGCCTTAAACCAAATCCAGGTTGTTTGGTCAAACAATACGAGACAGGAAGGATTGAAACGTCAAGCGGCACTAAAATATCACTCGATAGAAAACGGACTGTGGATTGTGGAAGTAATTCATCGTCTATTTCAACGACACCAAAACGTTCAAAGCTGCTTATTGATGAAATTCTAAATCTAAAAACCAACGAAACATATTCAGCGGATGCACATGAAACTGTACCCGATGGATCTTTACAACAAGAAAACTTCTCTTCACCTTCCACAAGTAGGGAGCAATCTGTGGAACCGAATTTGACAAAGGAAGGTGAGAAAGCGTAAATAAGTGATAACTGTGTAATAACTGACACTGATACAGTATTTGTAGTTCCCGCTGGTAGTAGTAATAGTCATAGAAGCAGTGAAACTCACGGCCCACTGTTGTTCATTGGATGATATCAACTGGACGGTATCTCAGTGATTCTTTCCCAGAAAAGGAGTAAAATCCTAAGTAGCGTTAGTGCTCCTGCTTAATATCAACTGTCATCATGGGCTAGAATAAGAAGCGAAGCAGAACATGGAGATGGTTCATTCAGTTAATAATTGATTGAAGTCATAACGGAAGAATCATTAGAAAATATTTCCTGAATCCTCGGGTAGATGGAATATTGCCTTAGGACAATAACTTATTCCTGAATCGAATAATTTTGCTAATCTTTCTCAAACGCTGCTAGCAATCATTTTAGCGTCTAAAATGATGAAGAAAATTGGAAGTGAAAATTGAAAATTGGAAGCAATGCAGAAAGAGCAGTATTTTAAATTATTACAGTCCTTTAATCACGATCATTTTTAACTTATCACCAACTGAATTCTGTCTTTTAGTCATATTAAAGTTGAAACATATCTTCGGGTCAATTTATCCTGAGCTGCTTTTCATTTCTGATTGCCCTGGCTACCATTCAAATTACAGTTGGGTTAATTATGAATTCATCAGTACATCAGCACATTATCACAGAGAAAAATTTCATGAAGAAACGATCTTTCTGCAAAATGGAATCTGCGGGAAAGCCACAGTGCTGATTAGCTAAACAATGCATTCATACCTCCCTTTCATCGAGTAAATGAATGATTAATTATTGATTCTTATAATTAATGATTATGTGATCCTGTAGTTATTTTATTCAATAATGAAGTGTTAAGTGTAACTGTGCAAATCAGATCAAACAATGAGGCCGAAATGGAGCTGAAGATTAGTGAATCTTCAGAGGGAAAGTATGCTAAGAGATGCATTCACACATTCTAATACTAATAGAATTTTCAAGGAAAAAAGGCTTTGCTTGACTTAATGTAACAAGTTCATCGATATAAAATTAATCATCAATAGAGAATGAAGGAGATATCACTGATAATAATCACAATGCTAAATGATAATAATGTAGATGATAATAAATTTTTCGTTTTTCTGCTTCATCAAATAACTTTGGGGAGTGAAAAATAAGATTTCGATAGCGATGAATTCAAAATTTAAATTGTTGCTCTTCATAAAAACAGTTATGAGCGGAAGTGCGCAGTTGTGGAGATGAATGCTTATCAAATTTAGTTATCGAATCAGATGGCTGACAATGGCTTGGCTCGGCTCATCACACATTTTAGAGGAGCCATTAATGTAATGGTTTCGGTTAGGCAAACACCGTTGATGTTCGCTGGTGGGACAGGCAATTCATATTTCCTCACTTAATCAACATCGAAATTAATCACTATTGCTATTTTATTAGAATATGTCGATTGCAGATGCTGTTAAAATTCGATTCTTGAACTACACTGCGCATGCAGATCACAGTTAGTCATTCAAAATTCTGAATTGAACAATTTCCATTAATCATATGTTTAGACTTGTATTTTCTACCCTCTATAAGCGTTTTTACCAATGAGGATTCGTTTCGAGGCATAATAAAGGCTAAAAATAAATTGAATTAGTATTAAATGTTTTTCCTGTACCCTACCATGAATTCAAAATTTGTACCAAAATTATGCAGCCAACTGAAAATCCGGTCTTTAGTCTTTTGTACCATATATATTCAAAGCATTTAAGCAAGCGCTGCAGCGCTATGTCATCGATCACTCATCGATCAAACATAATCATCAGCACTTGGAAACTTGTTTTGCTAATTGAATCTAATATTTAATGCAGTCATCCCTATTAGTGGCACCCGCCTTTTAATAGTAATCACAATGGAGCTACCCTCATCTTATCTTTCGGTAGCTTATTATCAATTACTGGTGAGGAGAATGAGACGGCAATTGTTATCATCACTTTCCATCTACATACGAATACTTTTGCGATATAAGGAATAAACAATGATTAAAAGGGATGCGAAAAATAGCATGCAACAACACGTCATCAATCAGTTTTATGGTCACACGGATATTGTTTCGTCATTTTATTGTTCCCGCTTATTAGACTTATATGATACTGAGCGAATTTCTATTACTACCGGTTCATTTCATAATGATGGTACATCAATTACATCACACAACATCGAATGTTCAGTGAATAAAGAAAAATAAATTAGCTTCGAAGTTGTATCTCGGACAGAGGTTCCTAGTTCAGTAAGTAGCCAAAATAGTGCGTTTACAATGATGCTGGAAGCTTATGATGTATGTAGTAATAACCATGAAAATAAACTTCCTGTTTGCTTTATGATAAGGCTCTTTACTAAAGCTTCTGCATTGGGTCCTATTATTTTTTTAATTATGTTCTGTTATGTTTATTATGGTTCTATTATGGGTTCTATTATAATCATCAGTAAACTATACAGCACTGTGACTAATTTTTACTGCGCAGAGTGTCACAACAGCTCATTCAAGACGAGAGAAGTAGGATTTCAAATTTACTGAACCATGCTTTGAGTCTTCTTCGGTTTCTCATGTCATTTTCTAAGATTGGATAAAGGATGAGTAGGGAAGAAAAAAGCGCTGCTTATTGCCGAACTGCATCATGATACTCCCAGAAGGTGAATGGAAAATCACTGACTGGACAAGGCCTAGACCGAGAAATATTTTTACTAGTTCAGCCGGAAGAAGTAACATGTTGGCATTTTTATGATCTTTCCGATAGTTACATGCATTTATATTAGATTCTGCTGCCATTTTCCGATTCTGCTGCCATTTAGAAGCATCCTAATTGCCTTGCCTTGTAACTCAGGAGTGGATAGGAAAGGAAGCAGGCATTCATTAAACAATGATTGCAGTGAACAAGCAATCACTTAACCACTTAACAACCATTCAGAACTAGCACTCCCACGAAACGACACCCATTGTGTCAATGACAGGTCAAAGGTCATCATTATCTCAATGATGAGTGGCTATTCAAACAACAAAATCACAGCTTCCGCGCTTTTGTATAGAGAAAAGATAGGGACTGGAAGATTTGCAATGTATCAGAAAATTTGCAATGTACCAGAAAACTTCTGTACCTATCTCGGGATATAAAACATTATCATACCATGAATTGTGCCCAACGAACTTGCTGAAAACATTGAATAAAGCGTTCGAGAGAGAAAGGAGACAAATTAGATGTATATCCTAAAATTAACAAGTGCCTTTCTTTGCCTATCTCTATCCGATTTTAGCAATGCTATGAATATTTGTGAATCGATGAAGTTAAAACTCTTTTCCTGTCCTAAATCAATACTAACCGTTTTATCACCGCCGTTTTCTGTCTAACAAGAGCAATATTGTCAAGCTAATCAGTTTCAAAGAAATCATTCAAGTTTATCATAATTCAAAATGAAATTTTAAATGTCGTTATGCTTGTTAACCATTTTCATGTATCTGCCCTCAAACTATTGTCAGCTCCCATTACATTAAAGCAATAAACAGCACATGTATTTTTATTCTATTTATTCTCTGTTAATTTACTTTTTGATAATTTCTATGCTATCAAATGTTCTCTTAGTCTGTAATCATTCATGATAAAATTTTCGATTCTTTTAAAATACTCTACAGTAGCCACAGATCACATTCGTGAATATCACTGACGATAAGAAATATGTGAAAACTGAAGAGGAATGATGTATATAGAGAGAGAGATTGAAGAGATGCGGAGAGACGTGTTGATGTAATGTAGCTAATCAAAAATGAGATATGCATGAATAACATATGGTGTAAGGTGTGTGCAAGTAAGTTTTAATTCGAAATATTTGACGTTTGCTTATAACAAACTGTAGAAATAACTTCAGCCATTCTCAAATTAAATGATCAGATTCGCAATTCAATTTCTTCTTCATATTTAAACAATCAAAAAGAATTCATCTCCTGTAGAAAATATAGTGAATGAACTAAATTTCATGAAATATCAAAGTTATGGCTTGGCTTTGCAATTTGGGAAAAATTTAAAGTATTTTTATGCTTAGCGAGCAAATTGTAAATTTTTATGCGTATTGCTTCAAATCTTCGTTAGTGGCTAAAATGTTTGATGGAAGAAGAGGCCGGTAAAAGAAAGATGGAGAGACCTTATGCAATAAGATTATATTGAAAAATAAGATTATTTTCACCGTTGAATGGATGGACCGTTTGAGTGGGAATAATATAATTCTGTTCGCTTTGATCTCAGAACTTTTTTGACCTATTCCAGTAAAATTTCGCCATCTTATTCAAAAGGAATTTGACTCAACCAATTCAGTAAGTCACTCCATTCGCGCTTGAAAAAAATATTTCAAGTGAGCAGGGAATTGGTTTCATCACCAAATATTTCAAGTAAACGGAATGCACTATATTACAAATAGCAATAGATGAAATAATATCTAAAGATCAGTAAGAGATTTTGGCTTAGACTTAGGCTTAGGATTAGGCCTAGCCTTAATTTTATATAAATAACTAGTGTCAAATAGTCAAATATTTGGTTTCATATAAATCAGTCTTTAAGTTATTTATGTTGCAATAATTTTTTTAGCGATATTAACATATCATTTAATATTTTTGTATAAAATCGAAAAAATTCTTGACAGCATCTATAAATGTATTATCTAATTTCATGCCATTCCTGCAAAACTTATCATAGCATTATAATCGAGAAATTTATTTAACAGTCATTTAAATTGTTGTTCAAATTTCAACGTTATGATAACATTTTTAGAGATATTTATAAATATTGAGTATTTGTTGTACAGAATGGGCAAATAGATATTTTTATAGAAACCAATTAATTAATGAATTAGAACGGTAATTCAACATAATTTTCGTACTACTATTGTGAACTTTAACTCTTGATTTTGAAATATAAAAATGAAATGAAGTAAGTTGTAATAAAATACTTACTGAATCTCAAATTAGTGAATATA